AGAGCATGGAGAGCGTACATACAATATCTGCCTTTTGAAATGTATGTAGCTTCTGTAGGACCAGGCTCAGTCCTAGGAGCAGATCAACATAGAGGCCATTAGTATTGCTTTGATACAACAGGCTGCAATCTCTCACCAGACTCAAGTGGAGATGTGTATACTTATGCTTTGCAACTACAGCTATTGGTTTTTATGATTAAGACTTCAGCAGCAGAAGGCAGTTCAAAAGGAGGAGAGGTGGTATGGAGCTGTGTGATCACTGTCAACATCCAACTGGTCTCTGGAAAACAAACAAACAAACAAACAAAGACACTGTAGAAAGAAGAGCCAGACTCCACTCACTGAAGTCATGGCACCAACCAGTTTATCTCCTGGCTTCCTCGGTGCAGTGAGAACAGGCGGATTAAGGCTTTCAAAGATGACAGCTAAGCTACCTAGAGAAGGAAAGTATCATGCGATCAGTCCAGGTAAGGAAGACCGATTCCACTCTGTGCAGCCATGAATTGCGGTGGACAACTGTGTTCAGACATACCAAATGGGAACCTACTCTTTAAAAAAGACATCATCTTGTTCAGCTAAAAATGCTCTCTGCTCTCTCCTGTGAGCAGAAAACTACAGCTGGAACTGGCTTGTCTTCAAACATCTGAAAGAGGGAGAGGAAAGAGCAGATCAAGCCTTTCCTTGTTCCTGTGTTGTCCAGAGCTTCTTTCAAAAACTGCACAGGCCACTCAGAGGCTACATAATTATTGCTGATTGCATAACACTGAAAGTCATTACACTTGCATGGCTTACTCTGAGACGTACTCAGCAGCCTCAATTCTTGCTATGGGTCACCAACTCCATAGTGAGTGGCAGATGTCAGTATCTGTCAGGCTCAAGCTCCTACTCATGTAAGAAAATTTCATTTATAAAGCCTGCAGATTTTGTTTCTCAGCATACAGAGCTCCATGTTTCCTAACCTCCAGATGGCACTCACTCCACACCAAGTAATCCACTGAAAAGGAGGCTAAGTTATAGCAAGGCAGTGCTACGCAATTCCTCTTTATTTTCAAGGGACGTTAAATAATTACAGATGCTTGACTCTGTTTGCTGAGTGTGAATCCAGAGAATCCCTCTCAGAGTTCCTGTAAACCGAAGGGTACAGGAAGCAGGATGCTCTAAGCAGTGCATGGTTGAATCCTTACACTCCACTTAGCACTGGTATTGTTTCAGTCAGCTGAAGCTCTTCTCCCAGTTTTGGATGAGACCTCCCATGTCTTACCCTGAAGACGTGGGCCACTAAGCAGAGTCTACAGAAGCAATCGTGGTAACTGGAGTATGGGAAGATATGGTTTATGAGGAAAGGTTAAAAGGACTGTTAAAGTTTAACCTGAAGAAGAAAAAGCGGTCTAGCAAGAGGACAGCAGTCTTTACATACATGTATAGCTCTGGAATGAGAAAAGGAATCATTGTACTTCACGGGAGTGGCAGACAATAGGAAAAATTAGGCTTAAATTATAGCAAGGAAGAATCATGTTAACTTTTTGGGAAGCTAATGGTAATGCTAATACAGCACTGGAACAGATTCCCTGAGGAATCTCCACCTTTGAAGGGTAAATACAGACATCCATCAAGAATGATGTATTTAATAGGTTTTGTCTTTTAGTGTATAAAGTGAATGGCCATCTGAAGAGCTTTTCACCAATTTTCCACTCTACCCTAGAGTTGTTGGGATCAGAACACACTTTGCAAAAATGATTTTTCAAACACATTCAAAAAGAATAATAAAAAAAATCTTATTTCAATTACATCAGGTTTAAATAGATTGCACCTCTAAAATACAGATTAATCACCCAGTTTTTGGATAGAAAATACATTTCCAATTCTTCTAACTACTCATATAGAAAATGCTTTTTGCAAAGTCCAGATGTGACTCTCTTAATCACACACACCTAAAAGGCTTGACTCGTGCCCTCCTGACAGCCACGTAAGAACAAGTGGGTAGAAGTAGCTCTACTCACCCCCAAAACTCCAGTTCATTCCTATTACCTGTTGAAATCAGTAGCAACTCTTAAGTACTTGACACCTTGCTGACTATCTCTTGGGGACAAGGACTGTTTATAGAACAAAAGTTTCCCATGTGGAACTGATAATCCCTGTGATATGGGATCGTTATGTAGAGCTGGACACCTTGTTTTGTTCAATTATTCAATTCAATACCTTCCTTGAAAATGTAGATTATTTTATGCTGCTGCAGTTAGCCCTTGTCTGGTACTCAGCATTACATTTCTGAAGTTAGTTTGGATCTCTCTACCATGTACAGCAACCTGCAGAAGAATCCTTTTGAGAATATCTGGTCCTAATCGGAACTGCCCTAGCATCTGTGAGTAGAAAGCAGCAAACAGATATCCTCTAGATGCCATTTTCATCCCAAGTTTAACAATCATTTTTTTCCTACCATAATTAACTTTGCCAACTAATCCTTATTTACATAAGCTGAGCCTCTTGGAAAGATTGGATCAGATGGTAACAGCATTGAAATCTGTAAATAATCAGTGGAAATTCCATTTATTAAAGAGATTGTGTAGATATTAAACTGTGTTGCAAGCTTCTTGTAAAGAGTTCTTATGATGGATCACTTGTGCTTCAGTTTTATAAGCTTTTTTCCCTTTTGCTGCCAGATCTCGAACAAGAGATTATACATGTTTAGACAATTCATTTTCTGTATTTCTTTCAGCTAAAGAGCACAACTGGGTAGTTATATTAATTTAATTCTTCAGTTAGAGGCACTGCTTTCTCTGGTGGACTTTTAAGGCTGGTTAATATTAATTGTAACTTGGTGCACAGATATTTCCAGTGCCTCCAAATTGTGTGTGTTCTCATTTTGAGTTCTGCTTATAATAAAGAAGTGTGAAATATGTATTTTTTAACAAAACATACGTAAGTTCATATAAATCTGTACTTCTTATACTTTTAGAATAGTCTTTGTATATAGTTCCCACCTGGCTTCTTAACTATAGTTTTGTTTTACAAGATCAGTGATGACTGTAAATCCGATTTTGTTTCCTAGAAACTGTACTTAAGACTGTTTCTTGACCTTTAAATTACTCTAGAGTAAACAAAATAACTAAATGGGTTGAAGGTCTCATCATGCTGTGAAAATTACTGCATGAACAGTAAGATTCCTAAAGTAGGGGAAAGGAGAGGATAATTATGTATGAACACCAGAAGGACAACGCTGCCAGTCCAGGCATCATACATTTGTATGTATTATGTACATACACACTGACACTGCTTGCTTTCCATAAAGAACACTCTATAGAATAAAATGTCTTAATTGAAGTTCATCTTAAAGCAGACAATAGTTTTCTGAAGTGGGGTATTTTTTGGCTTGTTGGTGATGTTTCTTCTGGTGTTTTCTTCTATGAAGAAAATTAACTCTATCCCAGCCAAAACCAGTGCATTCAGTTTTAGAGATCAACAATAATTTGTTGTGGCCTCAAGCTGCTTTTCCTAAATCCTGCCCAGGCAGAAACCAGTAAACCTTTCCTAAAGTAGGATGTCTCTCTTAAAAACTCCGCTCGCTTCTCTGAATCCATGTTATGTATACTTTTCCCTCTTCGGAAAAATTCATGTTTGCTGGATGAATTCCTTGAAACACAGATGCTTCTCCGAGAAACTCAGAAGTTCTGCCAAAGGCTGCAGAGGTGCTTGCACAGTTCTGTCAGTCACAGCCCTGCCCACAGCCCTCTTCCAGCCAAGGGCACAGATGCCAGAGACTGGCTGCAGCTCGTAACCTTCTCAAAGGCCCTCTCAGAAGCTCGATGTATCCACAAAACCACTGGTACTTAGAAATGGAACTTCCAAGTATCTGCGGTTACAGCCTCACCTCAGCACAGGACCTTTATGCCAGATTGATGAAGCAAAACTGCCTCAAATGTCTCTTAATTCAGTGAATGCCAAGAGGAAAATCCCAGTTGGCACAGAGTGATCAGTGAATTGCATTAAGAAGTAATCTGTAAATATACAGGCACAACAGACAACAGCTACAAAAATGATGAGATTTTGGCCTCAATCTGACTTTGATCTGCTTATTTAAAACTCTGTGTCTGTTTTTCCCATTTACTAATGACCAATTATCATCACTGGATATATTTTATATATCGATTAATTTAAAAACGTATTCCTGCAGTAACTCTTATTTTAACTACAGGTATTGCTGCCAAAGAGAAACAAACCAGACCAATGATGTAGTGTAGAACAATCTGCAGCTATCATAATGCTTACTAGCAGTTACATGATTCTCTCTCTCAAAAGCCAAATGGATTGAAAACTCAATGTTTGTATAAATTCTTCTATAGCAAAATTTAACAGAATGCTGATGCATTGCTAGCACTGTATTACCACAGGGCTACGGAACTGCTTTTCACTGAAAAACATAAAAGCCATGGGGCAAAAGCAGCATGTGGTGGTGTTTCAGATCTGATGAGTCGACGATCTTCTTTGCTGGAACAAACACGATTATACTCTTTTCTTCCTCCCAGTTCTTTGGCTTTGTTAGGTTTTAGGTTAGGTTTTTAAGGGTGTCCATAGAGAAGGCAGTTTTTGGTATTCTAGGCTCTTCCAGTACTACTTTCTAGCTAACCATATTATTCTAGATAACATGCCATTACCCAGAATGGCCTTCAGGCTGTCAGTTAACTGAATAAACCAAACCACAGAGCCAACAATGAATCAGCAGGGTTTGGGGTTGGTTTTGGTTTTTTTTGCTTATGGTACTTTCATTCAATTGGTGTTGCTTCTATTCAGCCTAACATCAAGTAAACCTTATATAAATACAGTCATGTTTTCAGTTTGCCACAAATAAATATAACATATATAACATAACCAATGAACCATATGCAAGCTCCAATGTTTCTTTTATTCTCCTATCACACACACTTGTACAATATAACCTCAGACATGAAGTACACAGGCATCCACTGTACTTTAGCAAGAGGAGGTTCTTCATATCAGAGTTGAAACACTGTCATTCTGCCACCGAGGAGTCTCTCAGCCCAGAGACAGTCTCCTTCCTTGTGGCAAGTGTTTGCGACAGCTCTGCATCAGTACTACTCAAGTCAAGAGCAAAACTCCCAGTCCTTGGGCAAAGGACAAAAACACACAAAAAAAATTTGTGTTTGCCAAATACAACCAAATAGGATGAGCAGCTAGAATCAGAGTAATCTTTTTTTTTTTTTCAAAATCTTGATAATTTTTACCTTATTTTTACCTTGATGCCTCCAGTAGCAGAATAGGGCCTTAAGTACGCAGCTTGCATAAAGAATAAAGTACATGAAACCACAGTTACACTGGCCAGAAGGGACCTCTGGAGGCCTCTAGGCCAATCCCCCGCTCAAAGCAAGGCCAATGTTGATGTTACACCAGGTTACTCAGGACCTGGTCCTGCTGAGTTGTGAAAATCTCCAAAGATGGGAGGTTCCAGAGCCTCTCTGAGCTCCTGTCCCAGTGTTCAGCAGTACTTCAGGGGTGGTCTCCTCACCGATCCTGATCCCTCAGATCTCAGTTGGCTCATTGCTCACTCCAAAGCAGAGGAAAGCTGAAGGCAGAGAGATGCTTGTGCAGAACTCAACTTCCTCTCATTTCCCTCTTTTCCAAAAGTGTGCACCCTCCCATCACAGCACTCATCATGAGCTATGCCACCTTGTCGCTGTGATTCCAGAGAGGTCACAGCTCTGCAACTGTACTGATACGTCCAACTCCTCCGGTTTCTCCCCCGGGGTGTGTGTGTGCACGCGTCACACCCCTTTGCAGGGCAGGTGAGTGAGCCTCCCGCAGCCTGCTGTCCCCGGCCAACTCTGCCCACTCCCAGCCTTCCTCCACACCTCTCAGGGGTTATCTCCACCCCACAGGCTCCCCAGTTGTGGAACTTCCTTTATCTTAACCTGGAGCTTAAAGCACCACTTGTATCTCTAAAATGAACTATTCCCTGCTAGCACGATAGGCTGTGGAGAGCACTCTCTGCATTCCTTGCAAAACCACAAAATTCAATGCATTATTTTGCCTAAAAACTCAGCTATGATAAGCCAATATAATTACTGGGAAAAAAATGGTTTGGCTTTTTGTCTTTGGTTATTACAGAAAGATTGTTTTCCTTCTCTATTTTTTAACAGGAATCAACATTTGCATTCCTATTTGAGATGCAGCAGTGTTAAACCACCGCCCATCTGCTGTGAAACAAGCAGTCTGCACTGCAGTTGAAAGTAATGACTTTATTCGCTGAACTGTAATTTGAAGTGGTTCTGCATTCCACTGGCACTTACCAAGTGAGAGTCTGAAATTTCACCTAAAACTAAGTAATTTAAACAGAATAATTTCTTATACTCTACACAGATTAATATTTTTTTTGTCATAACTTTGAATGGGGCCATTGATCACGATGACGTCTGTTCCTTCTCTAAGCTGCTGCTTAAATAAAAGTGGCCAGTAAACAGACGTGGAGCAATACCAGGACAGGGGAAGGACAGTAAATCGTTTTGCTTAACTGACTGCTTGCAATGCAAAGTAGGATGTATTTTTTAAAGAGCTGAGACACTGGTAAATATTTCATGTCTTTCTGAAACAGAAAAATATTTGAATAAAAATATGCTCATGGACCTGCTTCATAGTCTGCAGTCAGTTCAGCTTTATGATTATTCTAGTAGGATACAAGGTAGTGCATATTACTGATATTTTTACGGCATTTTGTTGGACCAGCATCCACACAGAGATACACAACTTCTACCCTAAGAATTTCTCTATTATTCTCAGATTATCTGAAATGACAAACATGTCTGTACCTCACCTAATTTTAAATGATAACTTCACATCGTGTGATGGATTACTCAACTCTTTCAAGTACACAATACTCCCACAAGGCCGAGAACTCAGATTATCAAGAAAATCTTGGAACAGTTAATATTTTAAAGTAACTTGAAGTTTTCCTTTCTTCTTTTTAGAGTTTACTGTCTCTGTAAAGCTTGATTCATTTGAAGTACATTAACGGAATGACAATTTTTTAATCAGAATTCTGTACTGGGGGGGCCATTTTTATCAATTAGAGTTTTGAGATTTTATGTATTCTTATGTACCTTTTTATGACTGTATTACTCAAAGGGCAACATAATTTACAAATTAAGCGCTAGTAATATTATTGTTTTAAATGAATGTGATAAATCTGTTTGACAAAACGTACTATCAAAACAGAAAACACCTTGCAAGAAATGCCAAACTGCCAAAACTAAACTGTATAAAAACGATGCCATACAGAAATAATTAGTAAGAATGAAAAAAAGAAGAAATTTTATGCCTGCGTATAAACCCTAATGTTAAAGCAATTATGTTATTGATAAAAATCTGAATTAATTTGACACCCTGAGTCGTCCTGGCCATATGCAGACATGAAAGAGCCAAGATTCTGTATGTGTGATCAGTACAAATGCCTACTCCTCGGATAATTGGTCTTAGTTCTGACAAGCTGATAGGTACAAAAAGCTTTGAAAACCATGCTTTGCTATTTTTGTGTGTAACTGTATATGGTGGGTAGGTGTATGTTCTGGAGAAGTTGGATAGTCTGACAAATCCAACACTGAGGAACTTGTAGCTTTGCTGAACTTTCTTTCTGTGCAACCAGAAGTGCTGTTGTCAAGACGACACCATCCCTACACAGGAATTGGCACCGCAGCGATGTGGACAGCATGACCTGAAGAACGTGGGAACTGTAGCACTGGAAACTCGACTTTGGGGGACAAAACTGAAATCCAGCCTACAGCTCCAAACCAAGAGCCGACCTACACCACTCCCAGGGGAACACAACCCATGGCTAAACTTTTACACCAACACAGCATCTGACGATTACAGTTTTGTGCGTTTTGTTTAAGGTATCAAAGAGCGATTTCAGGACCAACACTCGACCTGGTGCTCCACGTTTCTAGGCCCCGACACCGAAGAACGTTAGCTCTGGGCAGGCCTCAACCAGCGGCACGGAGACGACCCGGGGGACCCGGATGCCCTCTGCCCCGCTCTCCCGGCCACCGCGGCGTTCCGCCACACGCCAGCACGGGGACTGCTGGCGGCTCGTCACCGCTTGCGGCTGACAGGAAGCAATCCCCAGCCGCACCGGCCTCTGGCGAGGCTGATGCGGAGCGGGGCAGGCCCGCTGCCGGGCCTGGCTCTCCTCACAGGCAGGGCGGCCTCCGCGCCCCCGGGCAGCGTCGGCGCCACGAGGGCTCCGTGACGGCTTCCCCAGTGTCAGCGGGGCTGGGCCGGGCCGGGCCGGGCCAGGCCGGGCAGACTCCCCGCCCCACCCCACC